TTCTACTGAACTGGTTTGTAGCCATATCTCAAAAGTGGGATGTTTCCATTGAACCGCAAACCAACCACACTTCATTTTAGACCAGGTGTTGCTGTGATCCCGACCGTGTATGATAACATGCGAACTGGGGCTCATTAAACCATTAAAGTGTAATGTGAAGGCAGGCTAAGATTGAGCCCAGTGTCCAGAGAAACCCAGCTTGTGTGAAGGTGACCCCTTTCTGATCAGGAGGTGGCCAATGGGACTGTGCCTATCCCTATTGCCTCGCTACAACAAAGCCCTATTGCGGGGGCTGTCTCCAAAGTCAATTGAGAAGTGCAAATGCAGCTTGTTATTATTATTATGAGGAGTAATGGATTCAATCCATCCGGGTCACCCTAGAAAGAAAGTTTCCATCTACAGAGAGAGATACATTTCAGAGCTTTTCCATCTTGATTCAGATTTCCTTCCACACTGTGTGGAAAAGAATTATGTATTAAATTTATTGCCACCTGTCTCACTGCTAGGAGACTCTGGGCAGCTTATAAATATAATTCAATCTATAATTCTACCTAAATCAAGGAAATGCCTGGTCTGACCTGAGACTCATAAATCAGTAAAGACCCTGAAGTCCCAGTTCAGATAAATATTGCCCTTCTGAAGAGCTGCAAAAGTTGTGTGACTTGGCAGCTATGCTCAAAACACCTGCATTAAACCAGATATGGCAGATTAAGATCCGCCCCACTCAATACCAACCAGGAAATTGATAACTTGGATCTAAAAAGTTGTTTTGAAATAATTTCATACTTCAACATTGCAGTCTCCAATGTGTGTGTTGTGATGTTTCTCCAGAGGCAAGTCCCACTAACTTAAATAAGATGTGCTCTCATATAGCATATAATAGTGTCACTTGTGGAATATTGTTGCCTATTCTAGCAATGGAAGAGGAAGATTTGTATCTATTGATTCCCATGTCCTAGTCTGTGAAGCTGGAGGTGGAATAAATATAGGTCTTCCTAAGTGTTCTAAAACAAGATAATGCTTGATGTCATATAAAGACTGCAGAAATAGCATAGGAAAGAACCCATGAAAAAAAAATCTGTATCAGACTTCTCATTTTCTGTGGTTCCTGTAGAAATCTGTCAAGAACATCTTTTGGATGAATCATCCCCTCACCTGCACCTACTCAGAAATAAATCCAATGGACTTAATTGGATTTACACTTAAGTAAATAGCCCTACAATTACACTCTTGTAATGTAGACTCAATCTCCATTCTCTAGCTTATGCTTCCTCAGGCTGGTACCTTCCTGATGTATTGAGCCATGTAGGCCATCATCCATAGTCAAAAATGGCTACAGTACAGCAGTTGGAAAATGTCCATAGACCAGACTATATAGAAAACAGCAAGTTTGGAAACTTTGTTAGTGGGTAAGGCTGAAAGCCTAAATGCCCTGATCTGTGTTTGCAAATCTTGAAATCAGTGGGACTTCCCAATGAGCAAACCTATGTAAAAGTGAGCTGTAATTTCATTGAAGGTAGACAAACTTTTGGTAAAGTGCAGGCAGAATAGCATTAGGAGAGCCAAAGTAAGTTTTTTCCAAAGAACTTGGCAAGATGTCAGTCTAAAATTCACTAAGTTCAGGAGAATTTATTGATCCTTGGCACTATTCATTTCAGAATTAAGAAATATTCTGAGAATTGAGCCCAGACAGTAAAGTAAAATTAACCATCATCCCATCTCATCCTACTCCACAAATTGCCCTTCTCAACTCAGCACCCTCCAGAAAGCTGGAGTTACACCCTCAATCATTCTGAGACAACAATGCTCAGGCTGCTCTGAAGTCCTCTTTCTGGTATCAAGACAATCTTTGTTTATATCTTTCCCATCCGTCTCTGTCTTCTTGCTCCTTCCTAGAAGAGCAATTACGATTTTACCACTAGTTCCTGATTATACTGAATGGTGAAATGTTTGCTTTTGTACATTAATGATGAAATTTACAGTAAAGTGTAATTGATAATTTCCTGGAAAAACAGACAAAGCTAACCACCCAATCACCCAAACATGTTGACAATATTTACTTTCTTGACTTATCAGAAGTGCCATTCTATTACTTGAGCTCTATTGCCAATTGCACTGCAACCCTCTGCACTTGTACCTGGGTGTAGGAGTGACTATTCAGCCACTCTGAATAGACTGCATCAATGATACTTTTTGACTGCAATCTCATGTACATTCCCTTTGGAAATAAATGTTAAACTGAACAGGAGCTGATCTGAATAAACATGCTACTTAGTTCAATACAATATTCTTATTTTTGTTACTATATCCTGTTTTGGAAGTTTGGTTCGACCCACCAAACCATGCACTAACTGGGCTGAGTTTGTATACTATAAAGCACCAAAACCCCACCCCAGCCAAATTCATTACTTTGGAGTGGTTTTCCTTTATGCACCCTAGTTAAGTGTGTTCTGTGAATCCAATCACAAAAGTGTTTGCACTTTAACTACATTATGCTCAATCTTATTGATTTGTTATTGTCTTTTGGTTTTAATTGTGTATTCAGATGTCTGTATATAAAATATTTAAAACAGTCCAGCAACCCTACACCTTTTATACCCATGAGCCTTCTAGGTGTATTGGATTTCAATTCTCACCCAGAATTATGGGAATCTTTATCCAGAAAACCAGCTGTGGAAAGTTGATCTTTCCTACCATTCTTTGGAATCTATTTGTTCTGTGGCAAGTTACTGTTTCAATATATCAGAACATGCTTTTGTTCGTACTTGATTATTTCTTTATCATTCACTCATATGTAGCTATCACCTATACTTATTTAATGCTAACTTTGTTCTAGGCCGGGTACATCATGGACAATTTTGGGATTTATAATTGGAGGGCTTTCCATTTCTTTGCCTACAAAACAATTAAAGGCATTGGGGTAGAAGAATGTAAAAAGATTGAACTCCTGTGGCTCTGGCCCTATAAACAATATTTCTGAGAAATGAACGTTATAATTCTACCAAATGCTGACCTGGAAATAAGCATTACTGAGCTCAGAAGAATTTGCATCGAAGGAAAAGTGAATAGCAGTAGCCAGTTAAGCCTGCTCTAAAGTTTTTTTTTTAATGCAGAAAAAGCAACTACCCTTGACAAATCTTTCTCCATCATTAGTTGCCATCTGTAAAATGGGTATATACAAACCACATTTCTTCATACAACTGTTATGGGAATGAATACTGTTTAAAACTGCATTGGGATCCTAAACACAAAAGAGATTAGAGATAAATCCCAATGAGTTCAGTTCCTAACTTCCAGTACTGAAGCTAAGCTTACACATCTGGATGTTATCTGCCAAAAACGTCTTGTTTTTTGGGGAGGGGGGCGGGGGCAGAAGAATCCTTTTTTAAAAAAAAATAACAAAAGCAACAGATCAAGTCTAGGCATTTACAAATGAAAGTCCCACTGAGTTCAGTAAAATTTAATCCAAGATAAGGGTGCTTGTTTAAGGCTGCAGGCCAATTCGAAGTTCCACTGAACTCGGACAAGTATGCAAATGACTGCAATCATAGCGTGAATAAACCTAGCTGGCTCCTCTCCAAAGTAAACTCGCTCAAACTTTCAATCTTCTGCAAGTCCCAGTGGGTTAATTGAAACTCAGTACCAGCGTTGCAGCCTTAATCCACCGATTATCCTAACACGCATCGTGTCTTTGGTCTGGTTCAACCTGAAGTTGCTCTCTCTACCCCATTGCTACCGACACCGGCTCTCTCCATTCAGAAGTGCCCAACCTGAGTACAGTTAATTCATTTGGAAATTCCCAAAGTTGGATCGTGCGCCCGTGCGTTTCACAACGTCTCTCCTACAAAGTGTAAAAACAAAATTGCCCACACCAACCAGCTTAAGGTATCAGTTGTAATATTTTGTTTGGCAACCAGAGCGGGGAGAAACCAGAGCACGAAGGCAAATCAAAACGCAGCAGAAGCCTCCAGGTAGAGGTATTTCACATTTTAGAGGAGGAAGTCGTGTTGAGCGTAAAGCCGAGGGAGAGGGAGGAGTTGATTGACGGTTTCTATAGAAACACCGGATCCTCCGCCCCCCTCCATAGGAGTCAGCCAATCAGCGAGCCCTCCCGAATCCAGCCGACTGCTTGTGCTATTAAGAATATGTAGCAGGAGAGCGAAGCGCTGAGGAGTCACGTTGGGGAGGGAAAGAAGGAACGAAAGAAAGAGCGAAAAGGAGGGGGAGAGGAGAGCGGCTGGGGGGTGGGGGAGAAGGGGGAGAAGAAACTGCGATCCGTTTACACGAGCTTTGCTAGAACAAGCTGTCTTAATGGTTACTACGTGGCGGAGGGGAAACTTGATCAGCTAAACGCCAGCCGGGTGGCGGTCCGGGAGGAGGAGGAGGAGGAGCGGCGGCGGCAGGAGGGGTGTGTGAGCACTTTCCGGGGAGGGGGGTTGTAAAGGAAGAAAAAAGGGGGGAGAAAGCCGGGGGAGAAGCCCCTCCACCTAACACCAAACCCAGACCGGGGGGTGGAAGATGTCTTCTGCCTCTCCCACCACCGCGATTCCCAGCGTGGTGGCGGCGATCA